ATATATAATATATATATATATATATATATATACAAATTTGGGAAAGTTCTATGCGGATATAGCTTTTTAACGCGGAGATAGATGCAATAATAAATCTATATTTTATATTGAATATTGATTTAATTTCATGTTATAAAAATTAGTGACAGTATTTTATCAAAAGTATCATACTTTGTATGTGTGTGTGCGCGCAAAAGATCCTTATCTGACACTCAGTCCCATTTTTGGGTCATCCTGGCCCCCTGCAAAAAATTAAATCCAAAGACAAACAATGCAGCAGACGAATTTTCTTTATCTAATCTAATATTCTTTACCTAGCATTCAAATAAACTTAGATATTTTTTATTTGTATGTTGAGCATAATCAAATGGAACAATTTTTTTTTATTTCAATTTTCATAATTTATTAAAAAAAAGGTTTCTTGTGTATTAAAAAAATAAATAATCCAGACAAACTAACCGGACTTCCTATATCTTTAAAACTATCCAAATCTACTGAAGTTATTTTATCTAAGGAGTCATTCAAAAGGATATTTTTTATTTTGATTAGCTTGCGTTTTGATTGGGATTTTAAAACAGAAGAAACTGCAACATCATCCAGTGAAACACTTTTTCCCGGTGAAACCTTGACATTTTTCCCACGCAACACTGCCCCAGGCTTTTTAGCAGATGCTTCTCTAAGTTCTTTAAGACGTTCAAGAACTAACGGGGATACTAAGTTTTGAGAGGATGTAGAAATGTCTGCTCTTAAAATCTTATCAATAATTTTTTTTTTGTTTAGCGGTTAGATACCAGATGTTTTAAACCCATTTACAGCAAACTCTTGTATGTGGTCCATATTAGATATTAGATTAAGGAGCAATCTCGGGAAAACATTTTTTGGTAGGGATGTATGAAACCTCCCTTCCCCAATTATCCATGCAGTAAGCACTTTTCTCCATGTTGATTTCATGGGTCCATAAACTGCAAGATCTAGAGGTTGTAGCAAATGTGTACTGTTTGGAGGTAAAAAGACCATCATAATATTATTAGCCTCACAAATTTCTATAACCTCAATAGACAAATGGCATGCTAAATTATCACCAATGAGAATTTTTGGTTCGTCATTGTCAACATGTCTGAAGTAAGGTATTACTAATGTTTGCATCCAATCTACAAAACAGTGACTATCAAACCAACCAGACTTTGTTCGGTTATATCGTGCACCCATTGGACCTCCAAGTATCCATGTGTCCATTAGACGCTCAGCTTTATACACTGTATATGGAGGAAGAAATAAACCATCAGCAGAACATGCAAACATAATCGACACTGATGACTTTGATGTATTCATAACTCGTTCAGCATGTTTAGTACCCTTTCAGAATATCATTTGTTTTGATTTTGGGTCATCAGAAAGATTTGTTTCACCATAGTTTATTATATTTTGAGGCAAAATATTTTTTATAGTTTCTTCTAAATTACTAAAAAATCTATTTACAGAATCACATGAAACTGCAGCACGTTTTCTACAAATATTTTGACATGCTCGATAAGATAGCAATTTTTTATGTCGTTTTAAAAATGATCTCACCCAATCATTACCAGGCAAATTTTCTTTAAAATATGGGCAATCCCTATCAGATTTTTGAAGAAAACTTTGTATAAACAGCTTTAGGTCTACTATTTCGAATGCATAGCCAAAATCACTAAAAGTTGCAATGTATTGAGCAATTGTTACTTCCTCTTCTGGTAACAATGCACTCCTTTGACCAACCACACTAGATTTTCTTAAACCACTAACATGACATCTTAGAGTTTTGTGGTATGTTCAATAGCCTTGCCACACGTTTACAAGGTTCTCCATCATTAACAAGTTCTACTCCTTTTTTAAGTTCATAATCTGTGTAGGTTTTGAAAAGATTTTGTTTTGATTTTACGTAGTTTCTCACCATTTTATCAGATATCTAATATGTAAAAGGAAAACATATATGCTAAAAATTTAAATTATTTGCACCTTTAGATATTTATTTCATTAACAATAGCATTTAAAGGGTAAAAAACAGCTACTTGAAAAGGTGCTCATTTACCCCAAATAAAAGTGCTCAATTACCCCACATTACTTAAAACAACATTATTTTATTAACAATTCATTTATGAGACTTTAAAAGTAATACGAATTTACCTCAACATATGTATAGTATACTACAAAAAATTCAAAACTCAAAGAAGGTTTTAACTATAACTGCTTACCCTTAGTATTTCCAGTTATTAGTTTTTACGGAATTTTATGATTCTGCATCGTGATATATTTAAAATATTATCAGCTATTTATTTTTGACCAAAACTGTTGTAATTAGCAACATACAATTTAAAAAAGTTAATTTAAATATTTATATTTTGAAAATGATCTAAGCATTGATATTATCTATTTTATATGACTTTTAAAATTAAAATGTTTACGGGTGCTCAATTACCCCACGCTACGGTATATATATATATATATATATATATATATATATATATATATATATATATATATATATATATATATATATATATATATATATATATATATATATATATATATACACATTGCTGAAAGTTCTTAAAGAACAGAGCAATAATAAATTAGTAAAAAAATTATATATTTTTTATCTTCGAGAGCTTGTTTTTCTATCAGTAGGTTTATCAGGAAGCTTGATCAACTATTGAACCTACTGATAAACCTTCCTCAAGAACCTACTGATAGAGAAACATGTTGTTAAGAAATAAAACTAGATAGGTGTTTATATATATATATATATATATATATATATATATATATATATATATATATATATACATATGTATATAAGTTTTTATGAATGAAAGTTATTAAACTAATTTAACTTTTTTTATTAACTTTTTACATTGGAGCCTGAAAGAAAACTATCAGGAATTTAAAGTGCTTGAAAAGGAATTTAAAGTGTTTCCAACGTTTGTTATTGAGCTAATTAGAAAAATGCACTTATGCTAGATTTATTAGGACTATTTATTGATCCAAAAATCAGATCAACTTTAGTTTTAGACAAACTCAAAATGGACAGGCAAAAGAAATTTCTTCATTTAAAATTCATGCAGAGTTTATTTGAAATTTGAAATAGTAAAACAAGTGGTCAAACTATAAACAGAATTATTAAAGTTCTAGAAATTATCTTTGATGTTCGAATATAGTATGAGCTCAAATATTTTTGATAAAGTCAGATAACAAAATACATCAAAGATTTTTCTTCTTATTTAGTGTTATTTCTTAGTGTTTAGACATTATGTACATCTTGTTTTCAAAGTTTCTCATATTGTGTATGGTATGGAAGCACATCAAAATTTATTGTGGATAAAATTCTAATCAAAAAGCATCAAAAGAGTTTTATATTTAAATGTTTAGTGTCTAAATAAATTTTTGTTATAATAATTTGAGTTAGTGAATAATTCTTTTAATTATTTAATATTTAAAGTCATTTTTTTTAAAAGTTTATTTATGCAATTTTTCCAATTTTTTTTGGTGTGTATAGATTTTCTATGTGTATAGATTGTATAATATGTGTTTTTATGTATATAGAATATAAAATGTGTGTAGATTTTCTATATTCGTATCAACACAATTTTAAAAATTAAAGAATGATTAATTACCTAATTAATTACATAAAAAAAAGAATTAAAACTTTTTTTTACGTAAAATTTTTTTTTTAATTTTATGTATTTTATTATAAAGACCAAGGCCTAAATAATCAAGTTCAAGGCCAAAAACTTCAAAGCCAAGACCGAAAGTTTCAAGGCCTAGGGGCTTAGTTTTTAGTCTTAAGGCAAGGTCAAGGCCAAGGACTAACAACTCTGGTCTAAAGAAACCTTTATATAAAAAATAGTATAAAAAAAGTTATTTTTATAGAAAAGCTATACATATTTTGTTATAGGGTAGGGTAAAAAATTAATCCCTTTTTTTTCCTTTTAAATTGTATTCTTAACAGTTTAAATACTGTTTGAACAGTTTTATTTTTTGCAGTTGTCTCTGATTTGCCAAATATTCTAAAGCAACAAAATATTCTTCATCAGAATCGAAACAGCCTAAGTCCAAATCAATAAGAAACTGTTAATTTTTGTTAGCTTTGATGTTTTTAACTCAAAAACATTTTGTTTTTGACAACCTTTTATGTTATTGACTCGGACAGTAGATTTCCGAAAATAAATTCGGAGCATAGATATCTTCAAAATTTTACGCCGGTAAAAGTTTTATAATATTGAATGAAAAAACATTTTACGTTTTTAAATTTACGGCTGTAAAAATTCCGCCAGTAGCATTTTACGCTGATAAAAAGTTTTATAACATTGACCGCAGGTTGTCAATTTAGCACACTGTGCATGGCAATAAAAAAAATAATAAATGGTTTCTCAAAAATTACATAAGATTTGCATTTGTCACCATTTGTGCAATTAAGTGTCGCTCAAAGTTCAATTCAATAATAAAAAACTGTTTGACAGCTACCAGTTTAAGGGAAAAAAGTTTTTCTTAGTGGATAATATTTCAAATAAGGAAAAATTTTGCACATAATATACTTTGAATATTTATCTTAGTCAATTGAGAAGAGAGTTATGCTAATATTGCAGAGATAATGAGGTTTTTTTAAGATATGTTAAACAAGGTTAGTATTGCTGAGTGTAGGGTTGAGAAAAAGGGCCAATTTAGAGATGATAAAAACGAACTGATATTTAATACAGTAGATAATGACAACATTTTGTATTGCTAACTTAAGTAAACATGAATCATGACTTGGTTTCAGTCAACTAAGGATTCTGGTTGGGCAGGCAATATTTATGTATAAAGGACATTCATTAAAAATAAACAAATTGAAGTTAAATTTTTTGTATCACTCTATCACTTAGTGATAAAAAACAGGGCAAAATGTATTGATGCCAACTTAAATCTGCAGATATGTGCGTATTAAAACAATTTGCAAGTATAAAACATATTTTATTAGTACTTACATGCACTGTAGTGATGCTATCAAGAAGTAACTTAGTGAGTTCTTGCTGCCTGTCAAACTCTGCTTGGACAACTCGAAGTTCATTTTCTGCCTATTAAACAAACAAAGGTTATAAAACATTGTTTTTAAATGAGTTAAACATACTTGTGAAAAAAGTGTTTTGGTAATTTGATATTTTAATATTTAATTTATGCAACACTGTGTGAAGTATTTTAAAAACACTTAAAAAATTGAAAATAAAAATGAAAATGAAAATAAATACCTATTAAAATACCTAATAAAAATTGAAAATAAATACCTCCCGCATTTTCTCAGGCGAAACTGCTTTCCTTACTTTATTTTTGCATGCATCCAAGTCTAATCTTTTTATGTCTAATGCTCTTTTTTCTTTCTAAATCCAAAACAAAAAGAAAATAAAGTTGAGAAATGAAATTTTAAATTTTCCATTTTCCATTTTCCACTTCAGGTTTAATTTTTTTTCTGTCGTTTTGGCATTTAGTATTTTGTGTGAGCAGAGGTCAGTTATTCATTTAGTCATTTTAATCATTTTTTGATATATACAGTAGCTTTTTGTACTAGCAAAATTGTTATTTAGGTTCATAATTTTATATCTATTTGTAATTTGGAGTATTATGATGCAACAAACTGTTAAATGCCTAAAATCTACATAATTAATTTCCAATTAAAAAAACTAGAACTAAAAAATAACAATCATAAAATTGTTTGAAAGATTATTCATACCCAGCCTTTGGAATTAGAAAAAATAAGATTAGATAAAAATTACCCACCTGAAACTATTAGAGATTGGCATCAGGTCGGCAAAAAAAATTTGACAAAAAATTTAAGAATAAAACATAGAAACCTTAAACACTTTAAGGTTAGCAGTTAGGTTGGCATTGGTGAATGCTAATCCTAATTTTGAGGGCTGCATACACATATATGGTAAATTTGAATTTTTGGTTTGTGGGGAACTTTTTCAACAAGATAATCAAATTAATATTTTTTTCATTACTTTGTACAAATTCGTTTTATGACCCAAGAATGTGGTATCTTAAAAACATATGTATGTATGTGTATATATACATACATATTTATATTATATGGAAAACAAGGCAAAAAAAAAATTGCTTTTAGGTCAAATTTCTGCAAATCAGTAAAGTGGTTGGAATTAGAAACTTTCACAAGGTGTTGAGAATTCTATACCAATTTATACAATATATATAAATTTATCAGAGTTGACCAGCTAAGGAAAATAAACTGTTTTTTTTAAAACTATATATTTACGCTACATCACTTACGTTACCGAGGAATTATTATCAGGGATATTTTATATCTATTATAAAGAGCCAGAGTTACGAAACAAAGGAATTGCTAAAGTATTGAACTCATTTATTAATTATAATTAACAAAGGAAATTTTAAAAAACTGGCACTCTTCCTTAGTGATTTTTCATAACATTTATGAAAGATATCAAAGCGAAAACAAGCTGCAAGACCAAGAGCAACTTTAAAAAATTATTTTAGTATTACAACTTTATTAATACTTATTTGAGTCATTTAAATAAGAAAATCTTTTGTTGCACAAAGTTTTTAAAGTATTTATATTTAAATCTCTTAAAATATTTTTGACAAAAACTGCTATCACATGTGATCATTTGTGAGAGGAGGGAAGGGGTTAAGAATTGGCAAATTTAGAGTGACGTGCTTTATGGACCATCCCTCTTGATTGTATTTACAAATGATTTGTTGAACTAAAACAAAAAAAAAAGGTTCGAACAGATTTTTTTTATATTAGAAGATCTTTTTTTTTTAAATAAAAATATATATAATTCTTATTTTTAATTATATATGTATATTTATATGTCAACCAAAATAAGAATAAAAAAATAAAAAAACAATAATATAAATAATTTTATTAAATTAAAATAACATTGAAAAAAAAAAAAAAAAAGATTTTTTTCTAAATTCTCCTTATATAAAAAGTTTCAGTTAGAACCTTGGGAAACAAACCAACGCGACAAAATAAGAATTACTTAATGATGTAATTTATTTTGTTAACAAAAAAGTGCCAGAATTTTTGTAAATGTATGTAGTTTTAACTTACGTTACATAAATTTAAAATAAAAATGTGCCTTAACTAAGCATCATTATTCAAAATTTTAAATGTAAAAACATAGCATTTAATATTCTTTTGCATATATTATTAAAAAAATTAATTCAAATTATGCAATTAAATTTATAGTTAAAATAAAATTTTACAATGATACTATTTTTTATCATGCGACAATAAGAAAAACCATAACTTTCCAAAGCATAAAAATGACTTGAATAAATTAATTTTAGTACTAAAGTTATATTTTAAATACACTTTTATGCCTACATCAATATTCATTTGCTAAAAGTTGACAAAAAAGAGAATAAAATTTGACTATTTTTTATATATATATAAAAAATAGTACAATATATATATCTTTTGCCTTGCAGCAAATATATCTTTTGTCTTGCAGCAATGATATATATATATCGTCACTGCAAGACAAAAAAATCATAAGTTCATTTTGACAAAAATGACTTTTTTGATTTCAAATACTCCTTAGATACACAAAAATCAACTCACAAATTGTAGAACCAAAATTGATTCAAATTTTACAACTATGAGTAATATACTAATATCTCATCTCCTAAAAAAAATAATTAAGAGACATTGCCACTGCAAAACATGTTAAGTCCATTTTTCGGATAAAAAAAACCTTTTTTGATTTAAAATACTAATAATAAAATACTGAAAACAAGTAGATTTAAAATTTGAAGCAAATCAAATAATATTTAGGGATCGCTATGTTTTATCACATTTTAGTGTAAGGTTACAAAAAGTTGAAAATAAAATTTATTTTTACAATTTATTATTTTATCAAATTATTAGCAATTAGTAATATTATCTGAATTGGGGATATTTATTGTTCAAAAACAATAATGGTGATTAAGTATTTAGTACAGTATTTTGATTTACAATAGTAAGTACAATACAGTTAGATATGTATGGTAGTTCAATGTACAATACAGTTAGATATGTATGGTAGTTCAATGTTCAATGTAAACAGTGTACTACATACTATTACTATGCAAATCTTCATCAACAGTCATCTTCATCAACAGTCATCTTCATCAGGGTGGACTATGAATCAATTGGTAATTTTTAAGAGATTTCTGCTTTAGCTGTTTCAGGTTGTTTGCCATGTCTTTCTTGGTGTTATTGTCAGCACAAAAATAAAAATAACCAATCCTACTAAATGTTCAGAAAAATACCAGAGGTGTCAAAGAAAAGCTTTTACTGCAGCAATTGCAACTGTACAATTTGGATATTCTTGAATCTGTTGAAGAAACTTAATTAAATCCTTTATTGAATGGGGTCGTTCCAGCCCAACAATTTTTTTATCCCACCACCAGTGACAAGTATGGAAATTCTTCTTTTTGCTGAGCACCAGCAATATTAGGTAAAAGCTTTCCATTCCAATGCAGAAGAAGTGGATCATCAGGAAAAAAAATTAACCTAGTCAGTTGTAGCCATCGCATTGTGAATTGATCATTCTGTGAACTGTTTTGTGAATTGTGATGTAGAATAACAATGAATCTTTTACTGTGAGTGACCAAAAGCCTCTCTTCCAACCTGAGCCTCTCTTCCAACCAAGAAGAATTATCTATCTAGGCTTTCAGAAATATTAACACAATAATAAAAAAATACAACATTTCATCTTTTTTTTAGAACTTTTATCTTTTTTTTTTTTGATGAACCATTTGTGCTGGAAATGGAAGGAATCTAATATTCATCATCATCATTTCACCAACTGTAAATAAATAAGAAATAAGTTCAGTTTTCAACATCAACTTTTACTGCTTTGACATCTTATTTCTAATTTAGTTTCTTGGATTCGTTTCCATGCCTCCTAGCTGTTAAGTTCTAATCAATTTCTGCTATACTACATCTTCTTTCTGCTGATGTAAGAATGCTTTATCTTAATTTTTTTCCTTAACTTCTGATGCATTTTTGGTTAATATATCAAAAAAGAATTCTAGGTCAGCCTAAAAAATTACTTTTTTTATTTGACAGCAGTCCAATTTCAATCTTTGGTATTTTTTCAGCTGCATATAATTGTTATAAAATTTTTTTAACTTTCCTTCCCCATTATATATTCATTATAATCTATAATAGGAAGTTATAAAAAGAGTTAGAATCTTTCTCTCTCCCAATATCACCTCTTGAAGGAGGTCTGGAAGTTGAAAGAGTTTGTGTAGGTTTACCTATAAGCCACACCTCAGCAGAAGACCTAGTGGTTACCATATTACTAATTTCTAAATTGAACAGAAAGCAAAACGTTGACAACAAAATATTATACAATACAGATAGAGGGTTAAATAGTATTAGGAAAGTTGGCTGGTTTAGTATATGTATTTATATTTATTTATTTAACTTATAAAACATGGCAACCCCTAAAATTACTCTCTCTCTCTCTCTCTCTCTCTCTCTCTCTCTTTCTCTCTCTCTCTCTCTCTCTCTATATATATATATATATATATATATATATATATATATATATATATACATAATTTTTTAAAAAGTATTTTCATCTAGAATGATATTGATTAGAATCACCATATATGTTATGCATAAATAAAGCAAATACACAAATGGTAAGAATATTATAATAAAGAATATAATGGTAAGAATATTATAAATTAATGGTAAGAATTAAACATGCTTTTAAATATATAGGTGAAAGTATTATCAGCTTATTATATAAGTCATTAGTTTGTCCCCATCTCAAGTATGGAGCAGTTATTTGGAACCCCAATTGAAAGGAAAAATCGATAGACTTGAAAAGTTCAAAATAGATCGACTAAAATATCTTGTCTAGTTAGTTATGGTCATAAAGAAAAAAATTTAAAACTAAAATTACCCTCATTAAAAATAGGAGAAGGCGGGATGATTAAGTCCAAATGTTTAAAATTAATAAAACAAATTGACAAAATAAATTTGCATAATAATAATTAAATATTTTAATACTAATGGTCGAGCAAGGTGCTATAAATTAAAAATACATAGAGTCAATAAAAACACACAATAACTTCAACTTTAACACAATTAGATGCAATTTTTTTCTAATTGAGTTGTAAATGACTGGAATGTACTAACACAAGAAATTATTGAGCAAACAAACGTAAATCAGTTTAAGAACCACATTGATAAACATTGATAAAATTTTAAACTTCAAATCTTAGATTGTTTTAATCATTGTTAAACTTTTTGGTAAATTATGTAGAATAAAATTCTTTGTAATTTCAGTTTCAACTCATATGAATAACAGGATCATTTCTATTTTATTACATATTTTTT